GTAGCGATTACATGCGCGAATTTTGCCGAGTTCCAGAGGCTGTCGAGTTTCGTCTCCCACTTGCCGTGGTGGTGACAAGGATGCGCCCGAGGGTTTTTTCACATGTTACAACATTTTCTTGCAACAATGCCACTTATGGTTTCCGATCCTAGAAATCATTGTTCATTACCTTCACAGGCTCGGGCTATCGATCAGTCAGCTGACTCCCCCTGGTTTAAAGCAGCTCCTTGGTCTCTTGACGCTGAGTTATGAGCAGCGAATTACCCTTAACGTTGATCATCTCGAGAGTCTGGTTAAGCCCACGGGGCAATCGCAGAGGATCACTCTATGCCCTCGTGACGAAATTGTTACGGGCTGCTCAACGTTCTCTACTTCTTGGAAGAAAAATTTCTTCTACGTTCGTATCGACAGTGCGTCAGTCGAGGAGGGTTGCATTCCGCTTTTTACGACCACGTGGGGTCGAAAAGGTATGTGAATCGAGTTCATACGAATCTTCTTCCTCTTATTATATTTTTTTTATTCGTTTCTGTTTTTCCGCAGTGACCAACCCTTTGCCTCCGTATCCCGCGGACCTCCAGAACATCACCAGATCTCTCAAATGTGGCGAAGTTGGTTGGTGCAGTTTTTCTCCGCAACGCGTCTGCCAAGCGGTTGCCCTCTTCCGATCTCGACTCTTTGCGAATTCTCCGATTTATGAAGAGGATCCGTTTATCGGGGAGTTTATTCCGTATGTTCCCTCGATGAGGTTTCCGAAGAGATGAAGGCTCGTCGTGAGCGATTTGCAACCGGTTGTTCGGATGCCGAAGTTGTTCAACGGGCGCATGGTGATTATCGCGAATGTCGCGGGATTGTTCATGGGTTATCCCTAACTCAGAATGAAGGGTATTCGTTTGCTAAGGAATACTCCGTGCGGTGGGGACACTTGGATCAGGAAAGAGATATGCAGCCCGAACTTTTCGACCTTAAGGCGCGCATGTGGGATCAATGGAATCCCATCGTGTGTCGCCGGATTCGGTCGAAGTTGGTCCTGGGATTTCTGATGCGGAGGGTGAAGTTGATCAGTCCGCGTTTGATGACTTCAGTGTGTGATGTTTAGTCGTTTTTCGATTTTGTTGTTGTTTTTTCCGGACTGGCCGTTGGTGGCTTTGAATCCCTACCGCTGGGCGGTGTGTACTTGGATGCTTTCTAATAAGAATATATTTTCTAAGTATGAAATTCGTGTTTTGTGTTAGATGTNAGCGACCAGTGTGCTGGGTTTAGGGCAAGACCTAGGTTTACTTTCGGATTGGGGCTGTGCGATGACTAGTCGGCTTTCGTTTTGCCCGTTGCGATTTTAACCTGACTCCATACCGATTTAGAATCCGCGATAGGTTCTCGGCTTATACGATTCGTATGGTTGGAATCGAGCATCTCACCGGGAACAATTTCTAAGTTGCTCGGAAGTGCTGACCAAAAATTTGGATTTCTTTTATAGCGCGCTATTTTATCCTCATCGGATGTATGCGGACCGATAGGTCGATGCGTTTGTTTAGGACGGCTAGCGTGCTCGACGGGGCCAATCGCCGAGCGTTCGTGTTTTTATAGTCGCGGACGGACTTGGGGAAATATGTTTCTTTGAGAGTTCAGGCGACGTCTCGCCAGTTCTTTCCGAAAATATTTTGATATGCAAGTTTTAGAAAAAGGATTAAATAGTTCTTACTGCGGAAGCGATTTTCCGGATTTGCGTTTTTGATTGTAGCGGAGATATTCAAACTCTGTCTTTATTAAAAATTTCGAAAATTTTACGATTACAAAGCTGAAAGAAATTTTGTAAAAAAAAAATTTGGGAGTATACGAATACTCGTATACTCACCCACTCCCCCCCCCCCCCGTTTTGGAAGGGGGGAATAGCTGAACTCGTCTTTAGGCGAGCTGCCTACGTATTCCTTTAGGAAATCAAGCCATCTCGTAGTTCTGATTGTTTACGCGAGTGTGCTTACTCGGCTGTTGCAGACTTCTCGATCGCTTCAGTTGCAGGATCGATGTCTTTGTCCGGAATTGTCTCCTCTGGCCGGGTGGTAGCGATGGGTGCGGAAACTTCTGGTTTCTCGGCCGTTGCTTGCTTTGGGTCGTCTTCTGCGGGCGGTGGCGTGACCTTTGCCCGTTTTGGTTTCACAATTGCTACTGCCAATTGCCTCAGCTTATGTTCGGCAAGGAAGCAGGATCGAGATTTTCTTTGGCATCCCCAAATTGCTGCGACTCCCGTAGGTGTTGGGAATTTGATGCTTAAGTGATATGTTGACAGAACCGCCTTCATGGAATTTATCCAAGGCGTTCCCATAATCACGTTGTAGATAGCCGGGAAATCGACTACCGCGAAGTTAACGATTTTCGTCACTTCTTTTGCGGTGACCGGTAATCGGATCGATCCCAGGGTCATCGACGTCTCGCCGGAGAAACTAGTCAACGGTTTTGGAACCAGCTCGACTTCTGAGAGGTCGATTCCCATGCGTTCTAGCGTGGTGCGGAATATTACGTTGACAGTACTTCCAGTATCGACCTTCTGAGAGGTCGATTCCCACAACGATAAACTTAGAATTTTAAAAGAATAAACGAAATTGAGAGCAAAGAGGTTCTTATTCCGAATCTGCGTAAGAACTGGTACAAAAAGAGTAGCAGAAAACTTAAGAACGAAAAACCTAATTGAGACGCAGCTCGCTAACAGAAAAACGGAAATATTCCTAAATGCTGATTTTGGTGGTGAGAGCTCTGAAAATCGTGTCCCAGATTCTGCCCTATGCCTGCTCCTTATATAGTCCTCCTTAGGCGGTTCTGACCTTTCCATTTCGCCCGAAACCGAATATATCGGGAACTTTCCATATCTGTCAATCCTTCTTTTTCTTCTGTGGAAATCTTCTATTTATCTTCAAACTTGCCTTTTATCTTCCGTCTGCGAGTAAACCGTTAAAACGTTTTCGTATCTTCGGGTTTGATTTCGTTAATGTCGCGAGATGGGTTTTGTGTTTTAGGACCTTCCGGGCCGTTTACGATAAAAACCGTTTTATGACTTTAACGAGACCATTTCAAGATCCGATGCCGTTTTTACGATTCTCTCGACGTTTTTTATAAAAAACGCGTTTTTTATAATCTTAACGAAGAATCTCGGATAAATCGTATAGTTTAGGCGACGTTCGGTGTTTTGCTTAACCGTTACCGTTTATACGAGTTCTTCGAGTTCTTTTCGGGAAAATGGAGTTTTACGGTTTTTATCGTAGAATTCAAACGATAAGTCGGATCGAGACAAAACGAGAGACATTTTGGCCGTGGTTCAGAATGTGACCGTGTCAAAGGACGTAAGGTTCGAATCGGGGCCACGGTAGATCCGGGAGATCTCTAGTTCGCCAGCAGGCGAACTAGCTGGGGAGTTCCTAGTTCGCCTGCTGGCAAACTAAGCCAGCTTGTCTTAGTTCGCCAGCAGGCGAACTAGTTGAGAGCCTCTAGTTTGCCTGCTGGCGAACTAAGCCAGGCTGGCTTAGTTCGCCAGCAGGCGAACTAGTCCGGGACCGTCTAGTTCGCCAGCAGGCGAACTAGTCGTGACTAGTTCGCGTTTTGCGGCTTTTTCGGTTTTTCGCGGTTTTGTAAAACGATTTCTTGAGTTTTATAAAACGGATTTTCGAGTTTTATAAACGATCTTAGAGTTTTATAAAACGATCTTTGAGCTTCTCGAGTTTTATAAAACGATCTTCGAGTTTTATAAAACGGCTTCTCAAGTTTTATAAAACGATCTTCGAGTTTTATAAAACAGCTTCTTGAGTTTTATAAAACGATCTTCGAGTTTTATAAAACGGCTTCTCGAGTTTTATAAAACGACCTTTGAGTTTAATAAAACGATCTTCGAGTTTTATAAAACGGCTTCTTGAGTTTTATAAAACGATCTTCGAGTTTTATAAAACGGCTTCTCGAGTTTTATAAAACGACCTTTGAGTTTTATAAAATGGCTTCTCGAGTTTTATAAAACGATCTTCAAGTTTTATAAAATGGCTTTTCGAGTTTTATAAAACGATCTTCGAGTTTTATAAAACGGCTTCTCGAGTTTTATAAAACGATCTTCGAGTTTTATAAAATGGCTTCTCGAGTTTTATAAAACGATCTTCGAGTTTTATCAAACGGCTTCTTGAGTTTTATAAAAAGACATTTGAGTTTTATAAAACGGCTTCTCTAGTTTTATAAAACGATCTTCGAGTTTTATAAAACGGCTTCTCGAGTTTTATAAAACGGCTTCTCGAGTTTTTATAAAACCGCTTCTCGAGTTTTATAAAACGATCTGCGAGTTTTATAAAACGGCTTTTTGTTTTATAAAACGACTTCTTGGGTTTTATAAAACTATTCCTTTTATATTTTTGCGGGGAATTTTGGCTATTGATTCCGTCGTACCGGTTTTGACCCCAACAGTCAGGTCATCCTCCACCCGAGCAGCATGCTGAGGAACATCGCTGGACAGGTCCTGCTGATCCGTATTCCCACCTTCTTCTACACGATCTGCCGGAATCTCTAACCCCTCCGGGTTTGGTCTTGCCTTATCGCTATCCAAGCCAGCCGCCTTGTTTCCAGATTCCCCCTCCGAGTACTCGATCTCTTTGGAAGAACCCGATGGAATCACATGGCTATTCGCCTTATCCTCAGAAGAAGCAACCTTTCTGCCCTCAGCCGGTTGATTTCCCACACTTCCACCAGAATGTCCCCCGAAAAACGGTTCAGAATATGGAGAGAAGCCGCTGCCTCCGGACCAATAAAGTTCAAGTTTGATCCATGCTGCTTTTGAGGAAACTCCTTCTCCAGCTCCGATGCCAAGGTAGCGAGTAAGCCCTCATCGACGAATGCGGATTCCAAGACAAGCGGAGATAGCGACAGATCTTCATCAGTAAGTGCCCCGACGTCGAGTCGGGCCGCCTCTGCATGCCATTTTGACTCCTTCAACTGGAAGTAGTCGATCGTTTCCTGCGGGATCGGTTCTCCTCTCTTCAAAAGAAATTCCAGACATATCCGAGTGCCGAAGGCTTGGCTGTAATAGCATCGGGCATTGTCGTACTTCTTGAAGGAACCCTCTCGATTACGGATGCGCTCAAACCAAATATTAGCCTTCGCGACATCGTGGCAGTTACTCTTGCTCGTTCGCGAGTAACTTCGAGTACTCTGGATTCTCTTAAGCGAGCAGCCTCCTTTGCATGGGCTTCTGCAAGTTCGAGCTTCTCATGGTCGAGTTGCGCCTTTGCCATCCATAGAGCGGCCTTTTCCCCCTCAAACCTGTCCTCTACCGCCTTAGCAGATTTCAGCCTGCCCGTGATGTCCTCAGCTTTCATGGCCTCGATCTCAGCCCGACGAGCAGCATCATCTCTCTCGGTCTCTACTCGCTCGAGAGAAGACTTCAGTGCACTAATTTGCTTCATCCCTGCTTTGGCTTTCTCGTGGACCTTACCAGATCAGCATATGCCCTCTTGAGCTCGGTGTCGTACCTCTCCACAAGGAATTTTACGCTACCTTTAGCCTGTGACATCAAGAATCGTTCTGAGAGAAGAAAGTTAGAGGATAACCACCACGAGATTATGTCAATGAAGAAAAAGAGGGTACTTACTATTAGCAGAATGCGCGCTATGTCCGTGTAGGCATTCTTGAAGACAAGCTGATCGACAGCTGGGAGATCACTAGGGCCCCCTTTGTCCTGACGTACAAGATCCGCGCACTTCGGCCCGGTTCTAATCAGAGGAGAAGATTCATCGTACGAAAAATGAACCTTGTCGGGAAACACAGTCTTGAACCTCCAGTCTGAGGACCAGCATCCCCCGAAGCCTGTGCATCGGACCCCGAGACAACCTTCACCTTCTTCTTCTTATGCCTCTCTTTCGATGGAGGTTTGGGAGAAGTGTCCTTAGACCCAATCGAGGGGCCCGGCAGAGGATCATCATTTATGCGGTTCGTGACCGCGACCTCCTCGGACAAAGGGGGAATCTCTTATTCATCCCGAAGCTCCGGAACATTCCCTGCCCCGGAACCATATCCCCCTTTGACCGATTTCTTGGCAGATTTCTTCTTCTTCTATCTCTTCTTCACAGGCGGCTCAGAATCCTGCTCCTCCCCAGCAGCAGCAGGATCATCAGTCCTCTCCCCGTCAGATGGGTCGTCAGATCGTGACCATTTCTTACCCCCACCTGGAGGGTCGGACGTCCCCGTCTTAGACGCATCACTGGAAGACAGGACTGCAGGATCTACCGGGTCGGATCCTGAAGTTAGGAGTTTTCAAGGCTTTTAAGACAAATGTTGTAGTATAAATGATTGTCAAACCAATTCTAAGGAATTTTAAAGCACTTAGAATGGAAGTACTCACTTAATCTAAGTGAAAACGAATAAATGATGGTTTTAACTAGAATAAGAAAAGTGATAACTAAAATAACTTCCTTGATTAGGAGAAAAGAGAACCCATGGGAGTAAGGATTAGATCTTGGGTGATCAAAATTGGAACCAAATATGGCAAATGATCAATTAAATTATCAACCTTAAGCCTAGACACATTTCTAAACAAACTCTATATCTAGATGGATGCTCATTCACTAACATAACTCAACATCAAATGTCTTTGATTGAATATTATAGAAGTAATCCTTAAGAACAAGTCTATTAGCCATCTTAACACCTTTAACAACAAATGTCTTTGGTAAAGTGTGTTAAAAGCTTAGGAGAGTTGACTCAGGCATTTCATCGAACACCTTGTGAGGTGGGAAATGCTTAAATCTCAACCTTTGAGAGGCCAACTCAAAAGATGCATTAAGAATACTCTACTAGCAAAGAAATAAGAAACATCGACACTAAACATCCTAGTTCTAGCCTAATCACCCTTAATCTCCCTATCCCATGAATTCAAAGGTGGATTACTCAGTATTCTTTATGATTCCTCTTAAACCCATATTGGATTCAAGCTTAATCATGTAAAGATGAGAAGATAATGCAATGAAATAAAATAAGATCACAAGAACAATGAAGAATGATTCATAGAAATCAACTTTTCCAAGAGGTTTTTGTGTTTTCTCTTGCAGATCAAAGATCAGATGCCTGGTAGGCTACAAAAGGGTACTTAAACTTAGGTTTAGGAAGTGTAAAAACATGAAACACATGACCAAGAGATCCCTAAAAATACAAGGTTTCAACCAAGCAAATGACGCGNGATCACAAGAACAATGAAGAATGATTCATAGAAATCAACTTTTCCAAGAGGTTTTTGTGTTTTCTCTTGCAGATCAAAGATCAGATGCCTGGTAGGCTACAAAAGGGTACTTAAACTTAGGTTTAGGAAGTGTAAAAACATGAAACACATGACCAAGAGATCCCTAAAAATACAAGGTTTCAACCAAGCAAATGACGCGGAGCGACCTCGCCACGTCGCTCTGGCTGGGAGCGACCTATGGGCATCGCGTCAGGGGCTGTTTCGGCTTCTGGATTTGATAAAAAGACGAGCGACCTAGGTGCCTTGCTCTGGGAGGTCGCTCTGGCTGGGAGCAATCTATGGACGTCGCTCCAAGACGTCACTCTAGGACATCCTTCTGCAACCGAGTGTCAAAAGGCAGAGGGACCATGACATCTCGTTCTGGGGGTTACTCTAGCTTGGGAGCAACGTCATGGGGTTTCTCTGGAACGTCGCTCCTGCCCTACTCGTCCAATGATCACTTCAAACTCCTCTTTTGGACCTCAAATGCATCCAATCAGCTCCAAGAACTCTAACGATACTCCAATACTTGATAAGAACTCATGTATGCAAAATGCAACCTAGAAATAACTAAATCCTAGTCTATATGATCAAAATTCATATGGATGAATGGATAAAACAATGGAAATATGCAAGACATCAACTCCCCCAAACTTGTTTTTTACTTTTGCTAAAGTGAATTTTGTAGAACTAATAGGAAGAGAGGTTTGAAGGTGGGAGCTCGTAGCAAAAAAAAAACACACTTTGAACTCGACTTGACATCCTAAAGAGACATAGCAAATAGCATGAGCAGACTCTCTTATTATACTCTAACTTCTCTATGCCTATCAACACACTCTTATGCCTTTAAGCAAGGTGAAAAACTCTTCAATTTACAAGCTCTTGTAACCAGCTCTCACATTAGTTCACACACACACAAGGTGAATTCTCACAAATGGGCACAAGATCTCAATAATTTAGCTAGGCAAGGGAATGGTCTAATGAGAATGAAAAGGAGGGCTCAAATGCATCTTTTTTTAGTGGCTATCACTCAAGAACAAGAAGCTTGATCATTATGCAAATTTTATCTAAGACTAGAGGCAACTCATGCATACATAGTCTTATTCTCATCATTCTACCCTTTTTCTAAGTGATCACAAGTTCTAACCCTTTTTTTTTCATCTCATGATCTCAAATAGACTTTACTCACATCACTCACTAAATGAAAAAGTTTCTTTCTCTCTTTTTCCTCTTTTTTTTTTTNGCTTGATCATTATGCAAATTTTATCTAAGACTAGAGGCAACTCATGCATACATAGTCTTATTCTCATCATTCTACCCTTTTTCTAAGTGATCACAAGTTCTAACCCTTTTTTTTTCATCTCATGATCTCAAATAGACTTTACTCACATCACTCACTAAATGAAAAAGTTTCTTTCTCTCTTTTTCCTCTTTTTTTTTTTATGATTTACACCACCAACTGGGGATCCTTCACACACTTTCTACTTCTTTTCCCCGTTTTTTTAGGGTAAGGTTTTCTTTAGGTACAATCTAGAGCTTCTCTTCATTTGTTTTGGTCCTTAGTGGCTTTCTTTCTTTTCTCAAGGTACACTTTAGCTTAAATTTCTCATAATCTCTCATCCAAAACCCAAGATATTAACTTTAAGAACACATAAAACCACTCACCATCCTAGATGCTAGCTCAAAAAAGGTTCCTATGCTAGCAAGAGATGAGAACAATCCTATGTCGCCTCCAATACTCTCAAGATTTTGCATATGACAAGCTATCAAAGGAGGCCTCACTCATGCAAATCAAATGTTTGGTCTCAAAAGAATGGCTTGGATTCAAATTAAGGGTGTGGAGTACCATTTGGATTAACAAAAGAGTGGTAAAATGGATTAAGATAACCCAAATGTGTATGAGATCCATGATCAAGTATGCAAGTGCCCATATGCAAGAGAGATTAAGTTCATTAAGCAAAATTTCAGATTGGAGCTGGTTTCAAGAACAATGTCAATTTCAAGCAAGTAAACATATTTCAAGAAGAGTTTTCAAGGCTCGAAGCGTGCAAGGCTCTCAAGAGATGCTCAAGCTACTTGATATGTCTAACTAGGGTGTCACTTTGAGCTCTTGACAAGTGTTATTTACAAGGTCTTTTAAAATCATTGCTCCCAATGTATATGAATGCAAGCTATATGCTCTAGACTCTCCTAGAAATGCAAGTGATGCAACCTAAATAATTTTTTTGTGTTTTTCAAATTTTCAATTTTTTGGTTTTTTCTATGCCAATAAGTATGTACAATGCAATGCATGAGACCCATGACAAGAAAACAAAACAGAACACAATGTGAGACAGTAGACTCTTCCCCAAACTTACTTCAGACAGTCCTTTGTGTGAGAGTAAACTTGGAAGAGAGATAAAAGATGAATGAACTAAATATTTACAAAGGTAAGGATGCACTTACTTGGAGTTAGTGAGAATGAGGGTCCTTCCCACCCTTAAGAGTGATGGTGGTTCTTGTGAGATTTAGAGAAATATTGAGAGATTAGATGAAGAACATGAAGAACATGAGAGAGAGAGAGAAATTCGAAATTAAGAGAGAGAGTAAGAGGAAATCTGTTTCCTTACATTTCTGGTACATGTTACATGGTTTATTTAAAGAGAAACAAAGGGAACAACTTGCTGAGATTAATGGTAAACAAATAAGAAGAGGACAAGACTGGTGGGTGCACAAACAGCTTGGTGAAAGTGACATCACACTCTTAAGCTCACATGTGACTATTTGGGTTCTCATCACTCCAACAGCTCTCTCCTTTGATCTGGCCGACATCACACATATTTTAAAATCATCCTTGCACTCTTCTTAGCTTCATGAATCAGCACACGAGTTTACTTGAGACCCAAGGTCACAATACTTGTACGGAATGCCTTGTACTTCAAGGAAACTCTCATTGGCGCCTAAGTAGCTTCTCTGGTTCCTCTTGGTCTTATTCATGCCATTTATGTCTTCATGTCAACACTCCCCCTCAAGCTTGACCATGT